CGCGCAAAGCGCCCAGTACGCGGATATCGTCAAGATGATTGCGATGGTCACGACGATTGAGGCCAATTACGAGCTTGAGTATTTCAGGTCGGAGATACGCAAGACTCACGGGGCGTATCCCCTTTTATCGGCGGTCAATATGGGCCAGTTAGGCCAGCTGTCGCGAGCCCTAAATACAGTATTCTCGCCCATCACGCACCCATTGCTGCCGATGATTGCGGCCCCGGGCCAGTTGACCGCGGCGGAGATCAATGAGGCGCTCCACATCATGGGCCAGCTGCCGAAGCGCGATTTGTATGCGATTGGGTCGTTTCGCTCGACGCCACAGTCCATGTTCATGGAGAAGTGTTTCAACGAGCTGAGTCTTCCCCACTCTTTGACCTCAATCGATCGCGGACCAATGGGATCAGTCGAGCGGGTGCTCACTCAGGCCACCTTTGGCGGAGCGTCGGTGCATCCACCGATCCCGAGCGGTACCGGGTGCATTCCAGCCGTGAGCGAGGCGGCGCGAGCGATCGGGCTGGTAGACACGATTGTGGCTGGCCCTCAAGGTCCGCAGAAGACCTTGGTGGGAGAGAACGCGACATGGAAGGGGATTCGAGCAACTCTGACTCGGGACTACGTGCCGTCGGCATACCGCGGCCGGACGGCAATCCTTTTGGCGGCCAGCGAGAGTGAGGCATCGGCAGCCATCTATGCCCTGCGCAGTTTAGGAGTGGGTGCGATCCACACGGTGGGCTTCCGAGCCCGAGGCCCCTTGGCAGCGGGGCTTGAGCCCTTCACCTCCATTCAATCGGTCAAACGGGTTGAGCAACCGTTTGTGATGGTATCCGCGCTACCCCCGGAGAAGTCGTTGCTAGTCCAGCCGCTGCTGCGACATTACCGGACCAGTGGGCACTCGTCACCACCGTCTACTCGAGGCAAAGTCTATCTCGACTTGACCCGGGGGGAGCGCACGGGCGACCCTGTCAATGTAGCTGTGCGTGCAGGATGGACGGCCTATGGAATTGAAGACGTGGATGCGTGGACGACGGTGGAGACGCTGCGCTTGCTGGTGGGCCAGAATGTGCCATTTGACTTTGTGCGGATGGCTTCAGGACGGGTGTTCTGATTTTGATTTCCTTTTTCTTTTTTTTTCTCCCTCTCTTTTCCTTCTTCTCTCATTTTCTTCTCTTTCTCTCTTCTCCACGTCCTTATCTTCTCTCGGTTGTTTTGTCCGTCCTTGGAGACGAACGAGGAGAAGGGAACCCGGGATTGATTACTATACACTGATTTGGGCCAGGAGTTCGCGCGGTGTAGATTGTATGTTATTTTTTCCTCTATTCTGAACCAGCCAGTCAACGGCTGTCGGTATGAATGACATGAAACGAAACAAGACCGAATCTCTCGTTGGGGCTTAGGGGGAGGGGAAAGGGCGGAGAAGGAGAGAAAGAAACGGCAAGGATCTACAGTGGATTCCGGGGTAAGTGGGAGGGAGCTGCAGAACTGAAGTATAACGACTATGGAGTGAGTATATGTAGGTAGTAGATTAATATGTACGGTAGTTACAGTACATATATAGCGTAGTCACCGGACGGCAATCCGTGCTGGAAGCGGGAAAATCCCGGGGGATACCGATGATGGTTTTACCCCTGCAGCTTTCCCAGCTTTCCCAGCTCCCTTCTTCTTCCTCCCCTCTTGATCCCAGGATGATTCATTTCTTTTCGTCAACCTTTGGACTGATTTTGCAACTGAATCAGACAGCAGTGACTGACAATGCTTCTGATTGCTTAATTTACTTTACCCTTACCCCCGCATCGATTCCCTTTTCTCTTCTCTCTTTCCCCTCCATCTTCTCCCCCCCGCTAAGCCTTTTTGACCTTGACTGTCCCCACTGGGTTTCTCCGCGTTTGCAGTGCAGCCAATAAATCCGGGGGTGCTGGGCTTCTTCTTCTCTCTTTTCCCTTCTTTCTCTCGCGCTGTCTCTCGCGGTCTCTTTCTCTTCCTCTCTCTCACCCTCTCTCTCTCTCTTTTATTTTTGAATCCCTCTATCACTTTGCCTACGACTATCCGTGATCAACTATTACCCTTTACTCTCCTCCTCCCTCGTTATCTAACTGACTTGACTTCGCTACTCCCCCCCCCCTCCTCCTTTTGTCTCTTCTCTCTATTCATGTTATAGAGAATGCCATGTCCCGCCCCCAGGTCAGCATCGACCGTCTCACACCCCGACGTGTTAATGTCGAGCCCCGCGAATCAATGAACTGTAAATCCTGTCGGAAACGCAAGGTAAAATAAATCCCGACCTACACAAAATCCCCCGCTGACGACCTGCCTTTCGCCTTTTTTCTCTCGATTCAGATCAAATGCAACCGTCTGCGCCCGAGCTGTGAAGCCTGCAAGGTCTTCCAGTGCCCATGCATCTACGGTTCGTTGCTTTGCCTGTTCCTCTGTATCAATCTTGATGTTTTGTTTTGTTTTGTTTGGTTTGGTTTGGTTTATTTTCCCCTCGGCCCCGATCAGACCATCCGTGCACCCGCCGAGGTGTCTTTCTAAATTCTTGTTTCTCCCTCGTTCTCCACCTCAAGTACAACACTCACAATTTTTCCTTCCAGATGCTGTCCCCAAGAAACGCGGACCCAAGACGGATGTCTTGGAGGCTCTGTTGAAGCGTGTCGACGGGCTTGAGAAACGTCTGCAGGAGGATTCTCCAATTTCGCCCGTCTCGTCCGTCTCGCCCATCAAGTCGGTCGAGCAACAGCAGCAGCAGCAGCAGCAACAACAACAACAACAGCAACAGCAACAGCAACGACCGCAACCCCCGCCATTGTTACCCCCAGCCTCCGTGGCCTTTGCGCAGCCCCCACCGCCGCAGAGTTATGGACTCCCACCTCGGTTACCCGACGCCATGCTCGACACTTATTTTTCTCGTCTGCATGGTAAGCCTTACTGGATTCTAGACGAAGCCCAAACCCGACAGCGCCATCAATTGGGTCAATTGCCCGTTCATTTGTCTATGGCTATCTACGCCTTGACGTCACGGTATTTGCGGCCCTTCCCCCTCCATGCTGGAACTTTCGTACTAAATCGGTCTTGCAGCTATACCAATCCCAACCCGGTCCTCGGCAGTCAGGAATATGCGCGACAAGCTCGCCGGCTGGTGGACATCGATTACCCCTCGATTGACGGCACACAGACACTCTTGTTGCTCTCTCAAACCTTTTTCGCCCATGGCTGTGGGAAAACGGCCTATATGGTTCTCTGTGAGTCTATTCCGATTTTGGTCAAACGGCCGAGACTAATTTATTTGCCAGCAAATGCGGTCGCTATGGCCTTGGCCCTGGACTTGTATCGCGAGGTCTCCATCCCCACCCTGCCCGCCTCCGAACGTGAGATGCGCCGCCGCCTGTTCTGGACAGTCTACACCATGGACCGCTTCCTGACTTGCGGCTCCAAGCGGCCGTGCCTTATTGCAGATCACTCGATTGCACTGCGGCTCCCGGGCGCTGGCTCGGAGACTGGAGAAAGCTTCAATCCTGTCGGCCCTAACATTCACTATTCTCCCGACCGACGCAAGGGCCCTGGGGGCCCAACTTTACTGGTCGACATTACCCGTATACTAGGCGTCACTCATCGGTATTTGGCGGCGGGAGGTGTCAAAGGCGACTCCCATTTTCCGTGGCATGCATTGTCCAATTTGTCCAAGATCCGACAGGAGCTGGACCTATGGGCCGCCGGCACGCAGGATCTCTTTACCTCAATCGAAACGCTTTTCGGCCATCCAGAGAGTACACTATTACTACTGAGCAAGCTGATCTACCATCTAGTGCACTGCCTGCTTTACCGTCCCTTCCTTCCCATTGACTTGGTGGAACTGCGCGGCACCGGCCAGCATCAATCCTGGCAAATTGAGGCGACCACGCTCTGTTTCTCGCACGCCAATGCAATTGCCGAGCTAGTTGAATTGGCCCGACACGCTCCACGCATTGAATGGCCGTCACTCGTGGCGTACTGTGTCTGTACCGCCGGCACGGTGCATGTACACGGCGTGCACTACCACGGACGTGAAGGCGAGGTGTTCGCATCCAGCGCCGACTTCCTGAATCGTGAAATGCATCAGTTGGCCTGGCTGCGGCAGTATTGGGCCGGGGTGCAGCATCAACGGGAAATGCTACAGCGCATTGCAACCTGTCATGCTGACTTGGTACGCACAATGGCAGCCCGCCCGGTCCGGTTTGCGCCTGTCTTTCACCTCGAAGACTTTTTCGACCGGTACCCAGGCTTGGCTGTTGAGAGCGGACACGTGCGGTTGGTGGATGGAGATGAGCCGTAAGCCATTGACCCGAACCACTTGGCTGAAAGAAACAAATTTGCTAACCTGCTTTCACAGCCTCCCGCTCCTTGACCGACAAGACTTCCCTGGCGGACTCATCTATCCTGCTACGGCGACGCTCCCCTCCCAAGGACGGCCATCGATAAGCTTCCAGTCGTCGCAGGCGTCTCCACCGTGGGGCCCCGGGCCTGACTTGACTCTTCCGGAAACCAGTCTGGGATTTTCTCCTGGAGTTAGCAACTCTCCGGCAGCGTTCTTGTCCGAATCTTCCTTTACTGCTCCGACACCACCGGCCCAGCCACAATACGCAACGTTCCCATTCGAGGCCGCGCCTGGCACGGCATTAACACCAGACGCACCCTCTCAAGGCAGCTCTGGCACTGTCACTGGAGGCGGGGCCGGAACCAGCGACGGCGAGAAAGATCCATTCCTCAGTCTGTTGGAGCAATTAGCAGAGAATGAAAATTCTCAGGGCGGGCCCAGTGAACTGGACTTCTTCCTAGGCGAGGGATTGGACTCGGTCCCTGTGCCCGATGATCATTTGGTGGGCCCAAACAGCTTGCCCGAACCTGAATGAAAGCCGATGATGGTTCTGCAATTTCGCTCACCTCCTTATCTGATAACGGATCTGGATATCTTGCTGGACCTTACCAAATTACCGCAAACAGTTACCCGGGTCATGATATCATACCACGTGACTCCCAAAGGAGGAGGGGGGTGGTTCTGGGAGGGCATGTGATGATGCGGAGAATAACCTTCAACCCTCTCGCTTTTACTATCATGGTTTCATTGAGGAATCATGGATTTTCGCATCGATGCCCTCGCTACGGCCAACGATTGGGTCCAAGGCTCGCCGACGCGACCGTATACCGGCATCGTCAGCCTGTACATGGCCGATCAGCTCTCCGCTGAGACGGCTGCACGGGAAATCGTCAGCGTGATCAACGAGATGTATTATGGCGGAGACAGCGGGCTAGTCGGTATGCTAACCTGGACCTAATGATCATATCTTATTGATACCCTGGTAGAGGAGGGCCTTATCGATCTGTGGCGAACAATCGCGCACACTTCTAAGACGCTGGAGCGATCGATATGTATCCGACAGCCATATCGGACTGAACAAGAGCCATCGATTGACGGCGATTCACCGACAACGCCGACCGCTACGCAGCCCGCGACACAATCAGACCGGTCATACTACTCACCCACCCCAGCGCAACGTAAACTCCTCACCCTTCTCAAAGCCATCAGAACCTTTCCCCCGACCGACCCCATGCCCGGCACAATGGCCGGAACCAGCCATCAACACCACCCCTCCTTATCGCCCTACCTCGGTGCCACTGTCTTCTCCTCGTCGTCATCATACTATGGGTCATCCTTGAGTAGCAACCACAGTGATTGGGGTGGCATGCTCGCTGATGACGCGGAAACGCGAATCAAGTGTAAGAGAGGTGTTTGCTGGGCCGCTCTGCCATTTTTCCGTGAGGTCATTGCAGAGATATTCCAGGAGGATGCTCCGGGAGATTGGTTTCGTCGACCACCGCAATCGCGGCACAGCGCACCTGCCCCTGCACCTGCTAGTACGGAGTCACGGTCGATAACACCACTTTCTACTGCAAAGTGGCCTGAAGCACCGACAGGCGCGGAGCCCTCATCTCATTTCTATTCCGCTCACAATCCTATTCCTGATCAGCTCAAGGTCGCCCCGCCAAAAGTTGGCTTCGAGCATTCTGAAAGTGAGGCCTGGCTCAACCTCACCTCATTTCTGGCATTCATGAGCAAAGAATCCATCCTAGATACTCTTGACGACGTCGGCCTCGTCATGATGGGATCTGTGTTGGGCAGTGAGGGAATGGCTCTCTCTGCTCCTGCTTCTGGGATCGGCAGCCATTCCCACGGCCAGGGTGGTGATTATTCCCTTTATCCTCAGAGTCAACCTGAGAGCTTCACTGGCTGCATCGTCACCAAACCGTGTCTTGACCTTTACATCTCGGCCGCAGCCATCTGGGCCGTGATCACAGGCGATGATATCTGGAATCGCAGGGGTGAGGCCGCAGGAAACGAGTTTGTGGTGGGACTGTCATTGGACGATGATGACAGAGACGGTGACTCAACCATGCTAAGGAGGACTGCCTCCATGTCGCTGCGGAGTAACAGCACAACAGGCGCCACTTCGACCATGTCTGGTGGCCCGTCAGGCCTGGCACCCACCACTCCCGCAAGCAAAGAAGCCAGGGCTATCCGTAAAGCTAAGGCCGACGAGCGGACCCCGCGAGGAGACGGCAAGGATGCTATCTCCCGCCGGACGTGGGACGCGTGGATCGTCCGCCTTCGGGCGGCCACCTGTCATGAGGGTCTGACAGCGTCGACTAGGTCAATCGCTGCAGAGGCGGCGGACGTGATGTTGAGAGCTTGCACGTCGTTGGATACATAATGTCACGTAATACTAAAGGCTCACCGAGCGGGAGGGCACCCTACTCGTCACTCACATGGGTATAATGGAATAATCATACATATATGCTCCAGCAGAGCTCTTAATTCATCAGTGAATATCTCTGTTATCCGTGGGCAATTAACCAGATTTGGGTGATTCTATAGATCGGAGCACACTGCCACCGCGCTGCGTTCCTTTCAGAAGTCCAGAGCCAGACCAGACCAGCTGAGTAACCGAACTGGCCGACTGGACTGGATGTGCCATGTTGACGGTAGTCTCCAGACCACGAGATGAGGGGCTGCGTACTGTACCTAACTCCTTCCGAACCCGGAATCCAGAAGCCAAGATCAAGCCTGTCTGAACAAGCCATTTCAAAAGTGACTGCGTCCGACTTTCTGGCAAACTGCTCCAGCAATGTGTATCTTATTTCTTTGAAGAGAAACAACCAGTTTCCACTACCTGAGTTCTGAATAGAAGGGTATGTATGACATATAGCTCTATCTAGAATTGCCAAGTCACGTCGCAAGAATGCTGGAGGAGGGGCAGTGAATCGCCCATGCCACGTACAGTATATGAACGTATAAGTGACACTCCACAGTTCAATGCACACATAACGAATATAGATTAAGAAGATATAAGGGAACAGAGAAAAAAAACGGCGCAATGAACTCTTAGATAGCCTCGCGATGAACGACTCGAAAAGTGTTACAAAACTGGAAATATATGATCTGTATGTGTCTAGGAGAACTTGACCCCTTTACTTGGATCCCACGTCCCTGCTGCTCCGCCCGCCGCTCCGAAACGAATCCCCATTTCCGGCGTCCACATGCCCGGCGTCATTGGGGGTCGCGCGTTGGCCCGCGTCGGTTGCGGGGCGGTCATGGGTTCTGCGCGGGGCGGCGCTTGGGGTTGAGGTTGGGGTTGTTGCGGTGTCGTCGGGACTGCTGCGGGAATGGGGGCGGCTTGGGGTTGAGGCGGCGGAGCGGGTGCGTTGTATGTTGCTCGTGACTGTTGCTGCGCCGGTACAGGTGCTGCTGCTACTGGGTCGTATGCCTGATGTGGAGTCTGGCTATAGAGTTGGGTGGTTGGGACGGATGACGTATATGATGGATGCTGCTGCTGTTGACGAATGGGTGGGGAGATGTTCAGTGAGGCCATTGCGGCAGCACTGGAGATGTCACTATGAAGGAGGCGGTTAGCTCAATTGGTAAGGAGGACTGGTTCTTCGGGGGGGGGGGGGGGGGGGGGGGGGGGGGGGGGTAAGAGGCTGCTCACGCTTCGATCTGACTAGCTTCCATCCTCCGCTTGTGCACAAAGGCCTTGCAATCGTCGCGAAATCGTCCTACGATCTTGGCCAAGTCGTTGTAGAATTTGCGCCCGACTTCGATGTTGGATATGATCTCCTTGTACTTCAGGTATCCGTTCTCCAGTTCCTGCAGGGCACGTTCTCTTTCCTTTGTCGACGCATCGCCAGTATGTGCGCGTGAGAAGGCCCGGTTGGCCTCGCAGATGCGTGATGCGAGCTGGTCCTGCTCCTGCTGCTCCTCGTCTACCATCTGCAGGTCGGTGTCATACAGGCGGAGCTGCTCCTCGAAAAGGTCCTCAAACTGGCTCGCCTGAATGGGCTGCATGGGAAACTCGCGTTCCAAGCGTGCAGTTTCCTTGGTCAGTGCTCGGCCTGCTGGGTGATTAGTTCTGAGTTTTTGGCATTGTGTACACCGGTTTTACTCACTGATATCATCCGCCCGCGCCTTGTCCTTGAGAGCCTGCACCTGTCGCTTACGCCGGCTTTCCAGTCGATTAACCTCGCTCAAGCATCCACGCAATCGCGTCACCTCCCGCTCAACCTCGGGCGGAATCGCGGCCCTGCGACTGCTGGGAACGTACAGTTCGAGGTCCCGGTTTTTGCCGGTCAGCACGCGGAAGACCGCCTCCGAGGCTTTCAGCTTCTGTTCCACGAGGTTATCGCTACTTTGAGCTGACGTGAAGTACCCTTCAATCTCTCGGGACGTTGTGTAGAGCTTAGAAGCTGCTTCTTCGGACGACGCACGTGTCCACCGGTCAGTGCCATACCGGCGGCGTGATGCATCATCTTCTGCTTTCTCGGCCGCAAGAAGCTCTACTCCTTCGGTGTATACTGCTCTGTCGTTGCCCTTGACCTTGGCTGTATCCTCGAGAGACCTACGCAACCGGTAGAGACCATCCTGCTGGCGCATCTCCTCTGCGTGAGAGACCAAGGTCGGGGGTAGTCCCAACGGCTTTTCAAGTGCTTGTAGGGAACCTGGGAGATTGAGGGAAGAAAGCAGACTGAGTTTGTCAGTAGGCTGGTCCTTATGTAAGGGTTCGAGGCACTTACTCTCGCAATTTGTCCGTCATAGTCTCCAGTTCTCCGATGATCCTCTCGTTGACTAATCTATCTCTCCTATCAGAGTAGATGCTTGCCGCGATATGCACCGCGTATGGCACCAACTTCGTGAATAGCGGCTGGCCTAGGGGCCCGTTCTCCCCAAGCATCGAGACGGCATCTGTCACCTGCGACGGCGCTTTCGCGGCCACCATACACGCGCGATCGATCAGTTTCAGCTCCGACTTGGGCGGCACTGGATTCAAGTAGATGATATCATTATCCTTCTCCGCGCGCTTTAGATCCTCTGTGACGCGGCTCTTGAGGCCCTGCAGATCCCCCAACACCGTGCGGTTGATCCAACGGGACTCCTTGAGCGCCTCGTTCACACAGAGCTCACTGTCCTTCAGCCGCGCCACCTCCTCACCATACTTGCGTTTCTCCAGGCAATCCAACGACTGTCGGTACTGCGCCGCGGCCGCGAAGTGATGGTGCTTGGCAGTCATGTGGTGAATCCACTCCGGACTGATCGCATTCGACTTGACCGCATGGTCGCCCGCGTCGGCGTACAAATCCGAGACCTTGGCGGCCAGTCGAGCAATCGAGGCGTCCTTCAGCCCGTCCTTCACGGCCTTCTGCCAGAAACATTCCTGCGCTTGCGCGAGAAGAAGCTGCTCCAGGCTCTGAAGAGTCATCTCGTCCATGTCTTCCGGCGGAGATGTGCGAAGATCAGGTAGAATATCGCATCGGAGGTGCACCAGAACGCCCGCCGCTTGACAGAAGTAGTTGCATGCCTGTTTGAGTCCGTCCGCAGTAGTTCGGTTCACGGAGAATGCGAGCTGCGAGTACAAGGCTGCGAGATTGTATATGATGTTGGCGAGTTCGTAACGAAGGTTGTTTTGCGAGACTATGCAGTAGCCCAAAGGTATCAGCTTGAGGGGGGTTCTCTCTTGTCAGGGTGCTCCGAGCGGTCTGGTGTCTTCTAACGTACTTGGTCTCGAGGTGTTGAATCCAAAGGCCGGGTACCATGGGAATTCCACGCCAACCTGCGGCAGTTCGAGCAATTAGCACAGTCACTACTTCTTCTTCGGTTCCACAGATCTTTCATGCGGGGGTGCACTTCGATATCTGTCTCCAGAAAGGGCATGAGCGGACATGGCTTACATCGACTGGAAATTTGCCGCCAAGCCACTTCAGCTGCGCCGCGTAGGTGACCAGCCGGCTGGTTCCACTAACATGTGCCTCCTGGACATTGATTGCTTCGCTCCGCAGCCGGTCGATGATCAGGAGATCCTCGGCGAACATATCCGGACGCTGGTCATATTTCGAGGAGATATACTGCGTAATGGCATCGTTGAGGGAGACGGGGTGCGACCGCCGTAATGGGATCTGGAGGATATTACTGTATCCGAGTTAGCGGATTCCAGAGAAGGCTAAGAGGTTAAGAAGATTGAATTCACATACGATGCCATCGTGTCCTTCGATTGAGCGCACGCAGGCGAGTGAGAACGGTCGGCCGATGGCGGGGAAGTTTTGTTGACAGAAAAGCCCAATCCTGGACCCCGCCGGGGCAACGCATGACGTTTTGGTTCTGTGCCTGAGGCAGAGATACCCACCGTCAGGTACACTTTTACATCTACGTACTGAATTATGTCTACATTTATATACTATGAAAAGCACATAGACATCCAACATAATTCATTCTGTATTTGCGGCTTGGAGCTCATGCCATTATGTACTTGAAGAAGGATCATAACAAAAAGTCCGACCATATACGCCCAACAATACACCCACACACACACACACACACACACACATGTACTGTACGCATTCCACCCGGTCAGTGAGCCTTTCGTCATATACTAGTCCAGCTCGTTTATCCTCATTTTGATATACTCAAAGATACTAAGGAGGATCATATTATTGACCCCCGTCCGTATCAATATAATCGAAAGTCCCTTGTACATGCTCGATTTGGCTACGGCGGCCGTTGCCTCGCCCACCTCCTTTGTTTTTCCGAGCAGGACACTCTGTGCGCGAGTTTTCCGGGTGTCAAGTGGATAGGTCTAATCCAGTTAGCTGGGAAGCTGGGATCAAATTCTGGACAAAGCTTACACAGAACCAAGGGACGGTGCTGCAAATGGCACCCGCGATCATGGGCGCTCCGAACGGAGACTTGTCAGGACCCAGCTCCTTCGCTGCAAGTTGTTTGACAGTTTCATAGACGGTGAAATAGAGACCAGAGCCGAGCGTATCCCGCATAGCGTGAAGATGAAATCCCGTGTACAACCCGCGGATACCATACCGCTGAATGATCTGTTTGATGGCCTCTACGGTTCCCAGGCGTGGCTTTTTGCGAAGAGAAGGATCATTGACTGCGTCCGGGGCGGCCTGTGCACGGTTCGAAACCAAGACCGAGGTCTGAACCACATTTTTGGCGAGCTCAAAGGGGCCTATCGCACGTCAGCGGGCAGAATACTTGCCTATAATCCACAGCGCCAGAACATACAGGCTAGGGGGGAGGTTATAAGGCCAGCAACGAGGCCAGCAGCGGTGAAGGTGAACAGCGTCGACAAAGTGGGGCTACTGCCTGGCTGGTTATACATCGCCAGTGGCGATTCCCCGGTCATTCCCTCAATGAAATCGGAGATTCGATGTTTGGCCGCGTTGTACGTTGTAAAGTTAACCACTCGGACCGCCGTAACGCTTGCTAGAGGT